TGTATTGCACTGGGCAAATCTGCCGCAAAAGATCTCTTTAAAGTGTGAAAAAGCAAAGATGTCACTTTAAGGACTAAGGTGCCCCTGACCCAACCATGGTATTTTCAATCGTGTCATATGCATGTGAAAGCTAGACAATGAATATGGAAGACAGAAGAATAACTGATGCCTTTGAATCATGGTGTTGGCTAAGAATATTGACTATACCACAGACTGCCAGAAGAACAAACAAATCAGTCTTGGAAGAAGTAACAGCCAGAATGCTCATTAAAAGCAAGGATGGTAGACTTCATCTCACATACTTTGGACATGACATCAGGAGGGACCAGGTCCTGGAGAATGATATTGTCTTAGTCATCTAGTGCTACTCTAACAGGAATACCACAAGTGGATGGCTTTAACAAAGAGAAATTTATTCTCTCACAGTCAAGTAGGCTACAAGTCCAAATTCAGGGCATCAGCTCCAAGGAAAGGCTTCAAGTCCAAATTCAGGGCATCAGCTCCAGGGAAAGGCTTTCTCTGTCATTTCTGAAGGAAGGTCCGTGTCATCAGTCTTCCCTTGGTCTGCGAGCATCTCAGCTCAGGAACCTCAGGTCCAAAGGACGCACTATGCTCCTGGACCTGCTTTGTTGGTGGTGTGAGGTTCCCAACTCTCTGCTTGCTTCCCTTTCATCTCTTGAGAGATAAAAGGTGGTGCAGGCCACACCCCAGGGAAACTCCCTTTACATTGGATCAGGGATGTGACCTGGATAAGGGTGGTGTTACAATCCCACCCTAATCCTCTTTAATGTAAAATTACAATCACAAAATAAGAGGACAACCACACAACACTGGGAATCATGGCCTAGCCAAATTTATACATTTTTGGGGGGACACAATTCAATCCATGACAGATATCATGTTTGGTAGAAGAGAGGGTCAGCGAAAAAAAGGAAGACCCTCAACGAGATGGACTGACACAGTGGCTGCAACAACGTCTCAAGCATAACGATTGCGAGAATGGTGTAGGACTGGGCAGTGTTTCATTCTGTTGTACACAGGGTCGCTACAAGCTGGAACCGACTCGATGGCACCTAACAACAAACAAGATGTGTCCAATTCTGGAAGGCATATTACCTTCGTGTCCTTTCTTATTGAAATCACTTTTAAAAAGGGGGGAAAAAGTGTATGCTATAGCTTAAAGATGGTTCATTCTAGATTTTTGCACCCTTACTATACTATATATAAAAAAGTCTTTCAAAGACAGAGGATTCTATACAATACATATTTTCATTTTAAAATAATGATACATGAAAATGTAGTTTTGATTTAAAATAGTCCATTATTTATACTTGCTCATTGTTTCAGTCAAAGTAGGAGTGTCTAAAAAACGTTGGATATATTTTAGAAAGCATCCCTGCCCCTTCTTTAATTATGTATTGGATTTTTCAGCTTCTCAGTTCTGAAATCGTAGTGGAAGTACCAAAGTTAAGAGGGGACTTACAGAATTTAGAAGATACCATAAATGATATTTCCACTCCACAAAGATGACCCAAAACTTTTCAGCAGGAGCTTACTTAAAGCCTGAAATGCAAATTTAATCAGGGAAATAATAAAGGCACCGGAGTTGATCACCTTACAATAACCACCATAAATTACAGCGTCTACTGTTCCACCTAGAGCATTTAATGCAATCTGCTAGACTTCAACTCTACCAACTATCACAGGGAATGGCAGACACTAAGATGATGTAAATATGTAAGTTATACCTCTTTGGCAAGAAAGAAGGAAAGTCCTTAGTTATCCCTTCCTGGACACCGTGATTTGTTTCCCTTTGCAAAGGGCTCCTGGTTTCCAAACAACTGGCTCCATTCATCTCAGGCTCCAGTGACTTAGTACTGTTTGTGTCATAATGCCTTCCAGATAAAGGCAGAGATCATACCTGATCAGTCCTCCAAAGAGAAAGGTGCCTTTTGTATCTGTTAGAGTCTAACCAGGAGAAGAGAAACTACACAGACTATTTAAAATGGAGGAAAATGAATGCAGGAAGTTGGTTACACAGAGTATAAAAGATATGAGAAGTCATCAAGAAGACAGTGAGACAACCTAGACATCAGCAACACCATGAAGGAGCTATCACTCTTAGGCTAAAGAGACAAAGGGTACAGGTACTGACTGCTACAAGAGCCCAGAGCAAGGTCACACAGTGGATGCTGGAATTATAACAGGCCTGTCCAGCAGGAATGTAAGTCACAAAAGAAACAGCTTTTGCCAGCAAACCACTAGAGGCAAAGTGAGAGGGGAAGAAATGCCCTGGCTTCTTCTTTCCTTAAATCTCCCATCAGTGCTTCCCACTGGCCAAATCCAGTGAGCACAGCTGTCATTGGAGCCTGGGAAAGGCAGCCTACAGAGTCAACTCCTTCAGTACAAAAGAAAGCAGGGATAGGGCACAAAATGCATCTGAGGGCAAACAAGGGCAAGACCAGCACATCTTTCAATAAAGTTTACATCATAAATACAATCACATAAATTCAGTCAATTCAGTTAATTTCTTATTTCAATCATTATACTGATTGGCTCTAAGACTTCAACTATATACAGGCAGTCCCGATTAAGAATGAGTTCCCTTCCTAAGTCTGTCTTTAAGCTGAATTTGTACGTAATCACAACAGTTAGGAAAGGTTCGTATCTAACATTAGTTAGTAAAATGTTTGTCATACTACACAGCGTACCTTTCTATGCGTAAAAAAAAATAAAGAAAAACTTCCAGATACACTAAAAACATTTTAACATAATAATACAGTAATAATAATGTTTTGACATTCATTGCAAAGCATCACCAGTCTGTTATTACAAATCACTGTATGTACCTTAAATTTTTAATGTAATAGGCTTTACAGGGTTTGGTTCATAACTACAGGCTGTACGAAAGTCAGACATTCGTAACCTGGGTACTGCCTGTGTTAATAACTCTAGATCAACTTTTAGATTTTGGGATGAAAACTCCTAGAACATCAATATCCAGAAGCATAATTGTGCTACGAAGGGTAAGAATTACCCAAATTGTTTTTATAATCAGATTTGTAAAAATGTCCAACTGAGGTGAGGGGAAGGGAGCTGAAGGCTGTCTTCTAGTTCGTCTCTGAAGTCTAATTTGGGGTAATTTAAAAAATGGGTTTTCCAAGAAAAATAAAACATACCCTAGAGAAACAAAGATCATGCCAGCCTACATGGAGCATAAACTACTTCAAGCTGCTGTCAAATAAATGCTTCAAATGTGCTTTCTCCATGGCATCTTTTTGTAGTCTTTATAGAGAAATGTTGGATTCTTAGCTGTAGATGACAGAATTCATATCTTATCACTCAATTCATAAAAGAAAGCAGAGTGCTGACACAAATTCTTCGCCATGGGGAGAATACTCATATTGTGGTTGAGAACTGTTAAAAACCAAGCCTAGCATTAAAAAAAAAAAATCAACATGCTGTTTCTCGTACAAAAGAGTAAATACCAACAACAGTAACTTGCACTGGCTCTGGCTGAAATTTACTTTAAGTCTGAAAATTTCAAAAGCTCTCTGAAATTCCTGTTATTTTGCTAAAAATATTACTATATTTATTCAACATTTAGAGATAATTACAAAGCAAAACTTACTGTTCCCAAATTTTTCTGACAGATTCATTTACAGACAATATACGTATCAAATACAGTTGTTTTTTTTTTTCTTTTTAAGAAAAACAAACTTTCCAAGTGGTTAAGAAACCCTTGTTTATTTATAAATACTGGCTACCTTATCTTCATTCTAACTGGCACATCAATAAGTCAAATCAGTTGTCACCTACCATTAATTTTATTTATATACTTTTTTTCTTTTTAATAAAGCTAGTTTGGGATGAGGTTTCTGTACAGCAGTTATACGAAATAGCTCATAGTAACCATGGATCACTTACAGACAGGATTAAACGAAGTAACATAAGTTAATATGTCTGTAACAATATTTGCCACATAACCAGGACTCAATAAATATTAGCTGATTTCTAGACCAATTCAGACGAAATTCCTTTGTACAACTGAACTCTAAATATACATGCATTCTGTATTAGAAATTATACCTGTGCTTTACACAGTGTTTCAACTTTTCTCTCTGCAGTTTTTACTTCACTGTTTGACATTAAGGGCCCTGCTGGTGCAGTGGTTAAGAGCTATGGCTGCTAACTAAAAGGCTGGCAGTTCAACTCCACCAGCTGCTTCTTGGAAACCCTATGGAGCAGTTCTACTCTGTCCTATAGGGTTGCTGTGAGTCGGAGTTGGAATTGACTCGACAGCAACAGGTTTGGGTCTTTTGGTATGTGACATTAACAAAAGCGTCCTCAGTAACAGTGACTGACTGCCTGCTATTAGCTGTCCGTCTTGAACTGAAATTTTCTATTGGCTAGAAACCTTGTATGTAGGCTCTTCAGCTTATCTTGTGAAATCAGTTGAGACAAAATATATATTTTTTTAAGTAAATATTCTGTCTTGACTTTTATGATTTGAACAACAAACTATATAAAGCTGTACGATATAACACACAAGACATTAATTTTGTTATTTTAATAATACCAATAAATTCTACTTTATGTGATAAAAAACACTGATTGCACTGCCTAAGAGATCAGAAAAACATCAAGAAAGATTAGTAGGAGAGCAATAGCAGCAACAAGTCCTTAAGAACAGTGGAGACTTTTAGATAAACATATTTAGGTCTCTACAAATGTAGAAAATAGAAAAATAGTAATTCTTTATTATGATTTTAAGGGTAAAAAAAGCTAATTTATTCTTTTTCAAAATTTATGAATAGTCATTAAATAGTTACCACTTCAGAATAAATTACCATAAAAAGAGTATAGCTGTTTTTAAAATAATACCACCATTTTGCCATTTATCAAATATAATTAAATGCAGAAAAATTACTACCTTAGTAATTGTTTTCAGTTTTTAAAATTTTACCAATAAAAGTTTAATATTTTCTGTAAACACTTACCATCCACTCGGATATAATAACATCTACTTTTTCTACAGGAAGACGAACTTCTTCAATCTTTCCTTTAATTAGTATAATAGTATCTTCAAGTTTATTTAGTCTGAAAATTATCATAATGTGTTTAATTAGTATGTTAAACAGATTCTGAAAGCTAGACAAATTACCTAATTGCTTGCCAAATGTTCATACCGGTTTGCGGAACTCAAAAGTATGCTTGAACTTTATGAATTCATTAATTCCCTGGCCATTATATTTATTTTTTTGTACTCCATGGATACCCAAGAATGTTTCTGGTTAATATGGTAATTTACTGAAATAATATTTAAAACTTCAGCTTGAAAAGAAACCTGAATTTTATCAAGAATACATATCAATAATGTTATTGTCTTTAAAAAAAAATTTAAAAAGGGAAGGAGAGACAAGACAGATCAGGCTCAAACACAACAAAATTACAGTTTAAAGGGAAGCAGTGTACGTCATAGTGGAGAGAACCCTTACACTGAAACCTAGCTACTCTAACACTTGTCAGCTGTGTGATCAAATTACTCAACAATCTCTTCTGAGCCTGTGTGCTCACATGTAAAAGAGAAGGGTAATATCTGTCCTATCTACTTCACAGACTATTATGGGGATCAAATATTTGTGAAAGCTATGTATACAGCCTCAAGTACCATACAATGATAATGGTATTATCACGAGTAACAGAATACTGTATAAAACTTGGAATTCTACGCCAAACATAAATTATTTAACCTTGTCCAGTGGCATTTATTATTTTTATAAGCTTGACTGTAATGTTAGCACATATTTTTCAACCACCCTCTCCTTTTTTTTTTTTTTGGCAATCTGAAAAAGAGTTCAAGGTAATTTCAGAAAGCTAAAAGTGAGTGGCTGATTAAGTTCAGATCAAATTAAATAAATGAATTCTCAATCCTCAGAGGATGTGTATCTGAATTATAACAGATTTTCCTGCAACAAAGGAGGGATATCCCCCTTCCCTATTTCATTCAGGTATTATTTATATAACTCAATACAATTAAATGCATTCATTTTAAGGACAAAATGTGTTGAATTTTGAAACACAGATGCTCGTGTGGCTACTACCAAAATCTATATATAAAATGTTTTCACCTCCTTCAAAAGACTCATTAGTGCCCCTCTCCAGAAAATCCCACCACTCCCAGGCAACCACTGATATTCTTTCTTTCGCTACAGATTAGACCTGTATTTTGTAACATTTCACATAAATGAAATCACATTGAATGTACTCTTGTATCTGAATTCTTTTACTAACCATAATACTTTTCAGATTCATACATTTTTTTTGTATAGCAGTGGCTCATTTCTTTTTATTGCCGAATAGTTTTCCACTATATGGATAAACCACAATTTTGTTTATCCATTCATCTTATTGCTTTGGACAATAAGAATTTAAAGCTTTATTTGTACACAAGCAGAATTGTTTGGTGAAATTATAGTATATATCAAACTTTTAAAGAAATTGCCAAGTTGTTTTACAAAGCGAATGTAAAATTTTACATTCCTACCAGTAATACATGAGCACTCCTGCTGCTTAACATCCTTGCCAACACTTAACGTTGTCAATCTTTTAAATTTTAACTATGCAGTGAGATCTCGCTGTTACCATGATGACCAAGAATTTTTTTCATATGCTTATAGGACACATTTCCCTATTTTCTTTGTGTAAAGTATCTGTTCAAATCTTTTGCCCATTTTTTAATAGGGTTAGCTGTACTTCTATTATTGAGTTGTAAAAGTTCTTTATGTATTCTGGGTATAAGTCCTTCATCAGATTTATGTATGGTGTACTGTGGGTTGCTTTTTCATTATTTTAATGGTGTCTTTTGAAGAGCTCAAGTTTTTAACTTAGATAAAAACCAATTTATCATTTTTTTTCTTTTTATGGTTCATGCTTTTGGGAGCATAGCTTAGAAATCTTTGCCTACTCCAAATATTTCATCTATGTTTTCTTCCAAAAATTCTGTAGTTTTCAGTTTGAGCAAATTTTTCATATAGTATCACGTTCATTTTTTTCCATATCAATACCAGTTGATATGAGATTGAAAATTATATGGGCATCTTTGTCAAAAAATCAATTAATCATATATGTGTGAATCTATATTTGGACTTTCTATTCTTCCTCAAGATCTATACATGTATTTTTATGCCAATACAACACCTTCTTGATTACTATTGCTTTAAAAAAAGTCAGGAAATCTGGTGATGTATATCATTCAACTTTATTCCTTTTTGATGAATTCTTTTGGCTGTTCTGGGTCATTTGCATGTCCACATGGATTTCAGAATCAGCTCTCAGCATGTTTTGTACTTTTCAGGGCTCAAGCCTTGCACATATTTTGTTAAATGTATCCCTAAATACTTGATAGTTTCAGATTCTACTGTAAATGGTCTATATTTTTAAAATTTCAATTTCTAATTGTTTATTCCTATTTTACAGGAATATAATTGACTTTCATATTATGACTCTGAATCCTATGACTGTTAAACACACATTAGTTTTGGTAGCTTTTATGCCATTTTCTTAAGATTTTACACGTATATGATCACGCCCTCTGGAAGGAATGACGAAGTTTTACTTCTTCCTTCCAATTTGTTTGTCTTTTATTTCCTCTTCTCCGTTATAATGCTGAATAGAAGTGGTGAGAGTGCACATCCTTGTTTTGTTCCCAATTTAGGGGGAAAACATTCACTGATTACTATTAAATATATTACTTGTAGGTTTTTCACAGATGCTATTCATCAGGTGAAAAAAAGTTCCCTTCTATTCCCAGTTGGCTTAGAGTTTTTACTATGAATGAGAGTTAAATTTTGACAATTAATTTTTCTCTATCTATTAAGATGATTATATGGTTCTTCTTTTTTATTATGTTAATATAGTGAACTATACTGATTTCTGAACATTAAACCTATCCTGACTTCCTAGGATAAACCCTGCATGGTCACAGTTTATATTCTTTTTATATATTGCTGGATTCAATTTCCTAATATTAAAGAATTTTTCTATCTATGTTCACGAGGAATAGTAGTCTGTAGTTTACTTTCCTTGCAGTATCTTTGTTTGGTTTTAGTACCACAAAAACGCTGGTCTTATAAAATGCATTGGACCGTGTTCTGTCCATCTCTCTTTTCTGAAAGAGTTTAGTATTATTTATTAAATGTTTGAGAAATTTACCATCTGAACCTGGAATTTAATTTGTGAGAAGGTTTAGAATTACAAGTTCATTTTCTTTAATAGATTTAGGGCTATTCAGATTTTCAAGTTCCTCCTAAATCAGTTTTGGTGATTTTTATTTTCTAAGGAGGCTGGAGGTTCAAGTACACCCAGAGGCATCTTGGAAGAAATGTCTGGTGATCTACTTCCAAAAAATCAGCCAACGAAAACCCTCTGGAAACTGGATGGTGCCCAGCTACCATTAATAAGCATTCTGATCAAAGATTCTACAGAAGATTCCTGATCAAAAGGAGGAAAATGCAAACAGAATTTCAAATTCTCATGGACTCCACACTTTCTGCAGCCATGGAAACTGGATGAACTCTGAAACTACTGCCGTAAGATAACCTTTAAACCTTAAACCAAAAATATCCCCTGAAGTCTTTGTAAAACTAAACAGTAAGTTTAGCTTAATTAGTAAAAAATGTCTGCCTTGAGCATTATGCTCTTTTAAGAACTATCTATAGGGGATCAAATTGACAAAAGCAACTTGAAAGATTAAACAGGAACCATCAAGGGTCAATGGAGGTGGAACAACTTAGCAAAGGAGGTTGAAAATGATTCACAACTCCAAGAATGTAATCAATCTTACCACATTATACATGTAGAAACGGTTGAATTGCTGTATGTTTTGCTGTGTATATTCTCTATAACAACAACAAAATAAAATTTAAAACTACTGGAACTAACAGAAGATTTCAGCAAAGTATCAAGATACAAGATAAACATACAAAAATCAGTTGGATTTCTCTACACCAACAAAGAGAACTTCCAAGAGGAAATCACCAAATCAATACCATTTACAATAGCCCCCAAGAAGATAAAATACTTAGGACTAAATCTAAAAAGAGAAGTAAAAGATCTATACAATGAAAACTACAAGGCACTACTGCAAGAAACCAAAAGAAACCTGCATAAGTGGAAAAACATACCTTGCTCATGGATAGGAAGACTTAACATGGTGAAAACGTCAATTCTACCCAAAGCGATCTACAGATACAATGCAATCCCAATCCAAATTCCAATACCATTTTTAAATGAGATGGAGAAACAAATCACCAACTTCATATGGAAAGGGAAGAGGCCTTGGATAAGCAAGGCATTACTGAGGAAGAATAAAGTGGCCTATTATACCGCCACAGTAGTCAAAAAAGGCTGGGACTGGTACAACAACAGATACACAGACCAATGGGAGAGAACTGAGAATCCAGATGTAAATTCATCCACCTATGAGCAGCTGATATTTGACAAACGCTCAAAGTTCGTTAATTGGGGAAAAGACAGCGTCTTTAACAAATGATGCTGGCATAACTGGATAGCCACCTGCAAAAACCTGTAAGAAGACCCATACCTCACACCATACACAAAAACTAACTCAAAATGCATCAAAGACCTAAATATAAAATCGAAAATGATAAAGATCATGAAAGAAAAAATAGGGACAATGCTAGGAGCCCTAATACATACTATAGCATAAACAGAGTATGTACCATAAGTAATAATGCATAAACACCAGAAGAGAAACTAGAT